AAGGGGGGGGGGGGGGGGGGGCTCTCCGCGTGGGGCGGGGAGAGAGGGCCGCCGGCCGAGCGGGCGGGGGGGCAAGCGAGGAGCGGGGAGGGGGGCGGAGCGCTGTCTGGGGGCGGAGAGCGGTGTCTGCGTCGCACCGCCGAGGGCGCCGATGGTCATGCACGGCACGAAGAGGCCGGACGGGATGGCGGCGCCGTAGGTCACGACGGCGAGCGCGAAGGCGAGGAGGAGCGAGACGAACAGGGCGGCGGGCGTGAAGAGGACGCCGTGCGCGCCCTTCGCGAAGAGCGCTCGGACGACGTGGTGCTGCGACGAGAGGGTGAGCGACGCCATCTCGTTGTACCTGAGTAGGAGTTAATTAGTTCATTAATTCGTTAGTTAACTAACAGCTAACTAATCTCGCTGTACCTGAGTAGGAGTCGGAAGTCTCAGACAACTCATTCAGAAGGAGGGCGTATCGACGCCATCCCGATGCACTCGTTCGAGCCGGCGCAGCGCACGTCGACCAGGACCGACGCCGCCGCCTCGTCCCTCGCCTCCCTCGATATCTCGAGCGGGCTGGCGAGCCGCCGCCCGAGTGAGCCAAGCCAAGACGGCGGCCCGCTCGGCGGCGGCGGCAGCGACGGCGGCAGCGGGAGCGACGGCGGGGGAGAGGGCGGCGGCGGTGACAGAGGCGGCGGCGGCGTCAGAGGCGATGGCGGCGGCGGCGGCGGCGGCGGCGAGGGCGGCGGCGAGGGCGGCGGCGGGAGGGGCGCCGCCACCACGACGTGGCGGACGGCGGCCGAAGTCACGTTGACCGACCTGCCGAGCTGCGAGCGGACCGCAGCCTCGATCGCGTCGCCGAGCCTCCACGGGTCCGCGAGCGCCTCGCGCGCGCGCGACCCAAGCCCGCCCTTCTCGCCGGTCGCGTCGCCGGTGGCGTTGCCCGCCTCCGCCTCCGCCTCCGCCTCCGCCGTCTCCTCGACGCAGACCGTCGCTCCGGCGGCGAAGTCTCCCCGCGACTCGACCGCCACCCGGGCGACGCGCCAGGCCAGCTCCGCGCGGATCACGCCGTCGATGGCGCTGATGTTGAGCGGCGCGGGCGGCGCCCACCCGCCCTTCTCGGCGCAGCAGCCGCCGCAGTCGCACCCGAGCCGCGCCAGAGCCCCGCACGCGAGCAGCGCGCTCAGCTCGCCGCAGGTGGCCTGCGCGCACGCGCTGTTGCAGCGCGGCGCCAAGTCGAGCCCGAGGACCACGCAAGACAGCGACCGCCCGCCCGGGAAGATGGGCGGCGGCGACGGCAGCGGCGGCGGCGGCGAGGGCGGAGGCGCGGCCGGCGGCGGCGAGGGCGGCGGCTGCCACGGCGGCGGCAGCGTGGGCGGCGGCGGCGCGAAGGGCGGCGCAGCGGGCGGCGGCGCCGGCGGCCGCGGCGGCGGAGACGGCGGCGGAGACGGCGACGGCGGCGTTTATGGGGGAAGACGTCGCCCTCGATG